ATGCCCGTCCGGATAATGGGGACCTAGAAATCATCAGAAAGTGCAATGGGAATCTGAGAGTTGTACATGGATTTAATTTTTCAATGAATTTATTTGAACGCGTTAACGTTAAAGCCATAGCGACCTTGTTCTGTAGGTAGTGTTGAAACACTACCATCAGCTTTTCATTCGATTCCCGCAACGAAATCTTTCGATGTTAATAAACATGTATCGTACATATAACCATGTGCTCAGTGAATGTATGAGTGATTGAGTATTTCATTACGCCGCTGTCGGCAATGCGTCGTCTGACGATATTAGGGTGTGGACCAGACAAACCAGTGATTTGGATACTTTGACAAACATTCAGCCAGGCCACGTGTTGCAACCACCGATTTCAAGGTGAGGTTAAATGGGGTTTTAAGTGCCAGCACACTGAAATACCATGCCGCAGTTTTACATGAATACCCCACTCAGACACAGTATACTGACTCCGAGCCGACCAGTCCTTGTTTTAGCCCCGAGCGCCAGACAGGGTAACAACAAGTACCATATGCTGGTATTACGCGGCCGGGGATCGAACCCCGGACCTTCCGCTCTCCGGGCGGACTCTCTACCACTAGACCACGGAGGCGGTCAAAACATATGATAAAATACAACATTAAGTTGCAAAAATACATAAAAGCGAACATAGTTTGCATTAATAATTACATTACCCCCACTCCATAGCATAACGTGAAGTAATATTACTGGGGGCCAATTTTACCCCTGAATCACCATGGCACGGTAAGATACAGTTCACGTTCACAATCATTCGAAATAACCGAGTTCGCGACAACCAGGGTAAACTTTCATCATGGATCAAAGAAAATCGAGATGAAAATGTTTATTGATAATATAAACTGCCGGGCAAAAGAAAGTATACACTTGAAAATTGGGTTTAACTTACGAGCTATAAATTTTTATCAACACATTACTGGGCTGAAAATTATGGAATCCGAGAAGGGACATTGTCGCGTTGTCGCCTTGTCGTCCTTACAAAAACAAGCAAAAAGAGTCAAAATCAACTAAAGCGCGACAATATGACAATGTATCAAACGACATTTTGGCCATTTGTCGCATTGTCGCGCTTTGAATAAGCTCTTTTGTTTTACCAAAAGGCGACAAGGCGACATTTTTGTCAAGGTCAAAATCGTCGACACCCAAATACACCACCATCGAATAACCATTTCTTGCTTGTGTCACTTTTAGCCACCAACTTATATAAGCCGACATTTCCGATGTCTTACTACCGTGTCCCTGTATCAAATATTATTGAACATTTGTATTGCGCATTTAAACGCAGAGCAACAGCTCAAATGCGCTTAGACCAATATTGATCTAGCCAAAGGCTCTCAAGGAGAGACAGATTTTGAATGTAGTTTGAGAATAGTTTGTCAGATATTCTGTTCTCGGTTTTCTTGTGGTACATTGTTCCATAGCAATAGGCCAGTGTGTTGAAATGACCTATTGCCATATGTTTTGGTACGTGACTTTGGCACCACTAGCAGATGTGGATCTTCTGATCGGAGAGAACGTGCGGGCTTGTATGGTACTATCAGTTCCTGTAAGTCTGCAGGAGCCAAACTTTGCATTGCCTTGTAAACCAGAGTGAGTAGTTTAAATTGCACTCCTTGTTGGATTGGCAGCCAGTGTAGCTCAGTCAGGATTGGAGTGATGTGATCTCGCCTTGGTGTTCTTGTCAGAATTTATGGAGCTGTATTCTGAACACGCTGTAGTTTTTCTGCATCCTTCTTTTGTATGCCACAGAGGAGCGAATAACAATAACCCAACCTGGAGACGACAAAAGTATGGGTCAACAATTTTGTAGCCTCGACTTTGACATACAGTAAACGACGTTTATAACGAACACGCTTATAACGAACTGACGGATATATAGTACATGTTTTGGTCCCGACCTTTTGCTGTTTGTACATGTATATATGCTTATAACGAACTACGTTTATATCGAACTAAAATCAGTAGTCCCCTTGAGTTCGTTATAACCGTAGTTTACTGTATCTCCTGATTTGCCCGATGTTGTGAATATGGTAACATGAACATTTGCATGTGACTGTGATATGCTTATGAAAGAATGGAGATCGATCTTAAACTGAATAAGTAATCTCGAACGCTAATCACGATACGGCCGTGTATCAGTCAGCTCGCGGTTTGATTGACGTGAGGCAATATTGCAGGTCTACCCCGGGGCCTAAACTATACAGAAATGGAAGATGATTAGCAGTGACCAAAGACAATTATTGGTCGTCCAGTACAAACCATCTCACGGAACGGAATTGGTGTCATATTATTTCCGATCCGGCGCTCGAAAATTGAATCGGAAGCAAACCATGTCCCATCCTTCCGCGTATGCGGCCTTAGTCCATGAGGGCTTCCGTCAGCTTGTTGTAGACAGTGCTGACCACGCCCACCTGGGGATTAGGTTAAAATTACACCACCTTCGGTATATTTCCTGTAACCGTATCTGATAATATTTTTTGACACGTGTAATATATTTTAATCGCACTGTTATCCCCTATGATTGTGTTGAATACAAACAGAAGGCAGCAGCTAGGTCTCAAATGGATTCCGCAAGTCACCCCGGAACGGGTGTTGACTGATTTTGGATGACGAAGAATGTTGAATGTGCGGTGTTGAGATGTGAGCGTTAACTGTTGGACTGCTGAATTCTAAAACATGGGTGTTGAATGTTTGGAGTGGAATTTTGAATTTTGAATTTTGAATCCTAAGTGTTGGGTGTTGTGCATTGGATGAGGGTGTTGGATGTTGTATTTTGAGAATGTGTGAATGGTTTAACCAATAATAGTGAAATCAGTCATAAGGCATGCTCTACGGGGTGATATGATCATTAACATAACTTAAACATGTATATTCGAGGTGTAGTCAACAACATGGGTACACTGTGTTCCCTGGTCAAAGAAGCATCCAACTCACTCACTCACTCGCTCACTTTAATCGGTCTTTAGAAGCAGTGCTTGTCTTAAGATGCGACTAACGGGATCAGGTGGTCAGGTTTAACAAGCCATGCTTGTCGTAAGATGCGACTAACGGGACCAGGTGGTCAGGTTTAACAAGCCATGCTTGTCGTAAGAGGCGACTAACGGGATCGGGTGGTCAGGTTTAACAAGCCATGCTTGTCGTAAGATGCGACTAACGGGATCGGGTGGTCAAGTTTAACAAGCCATGCTTGTCGTAAGATGCGACTAACGGGACCAGGTGGTCAGGTTTAACAAGCCATGCTTGTCGTAAGAGGCGACTAACGGGATCGGGTGGTCAGGTTCGTTGATTTGCTTGATGCTTGTCATCGTATCACAATAGAACGATGCTCATGATCACTGGATTGTCTTGATCAGACTCGATTATTTAGTGACCATCGTCATATAGCAGGAAGATTGCTGAGTGCGGCGTTAAACACCAAACAAACATATAAATAATTCAGGTAAGACCAATGGCGCATTTGTACCAAATACCCGCCTCATTTCCATTTGTGTCGATTTCAAAGTCCATCTGCTTTTTGTTTCAATGAGTTTGATCCAACGCCTGTTTGAAGTGTATGTCTGTAATATCAAGGCTATGGGAGTCTTATTTGTTGAGTTCGCCCCGATTATGTTTCTAGGTTTGTCAGCACCATACCCGTGCTCGTGGGTTTCACCGAAGTGGTAAACGTCTGAGACCTGCATCACTTCGGGCTTTCCTCCCACATTAAGCTGACACGCCGCGATATAACTGGAATACTGTTAAAAGCGGCGTTAAACCCAACTCACTCACTCACTCACTCACTCACTCACTCACTTATTTGTTGAAGCTTGTAGACGTTAACCATTTGGTGAAACCCACTAGAACGGGTATGGTGCTGAAAAAACCTTGAAATTTAAGGGTGGCGAATCTAGGTCTTGATCCCTCGAACACAGTTTTTAAGAGACAAAATCCTTCTCAGCGATTGCGGTGCTATAAACACCACAGCCACCTGTGGCCCTACACCGACAACAGCAGTATGCCCAATAATGATATTCATTATTGATTGAAATAGCTCGGTAAACGTACAAGTAAGATGCGACAGAGATTTATTGGTGAAGCGCTTGGCACCAGGATACAAAACTGATGACATGTTGGATCTGTCAGACCCAGTGTTTTGCTCTTTATAATTGGACAATTATATTTTTCACATGATCTAAAGATCGAAAAGAATAAATTGATACTTTGTATATTGATCGATGTGTTTTAGGTCGTATTGTGGGTTTCAAAGCTCTAAGTTTGGTCTCTATTCTTTTAGAAAACAAATCTTGGTTGAAATCAAGTGGTTTATGCTGTAATCGAATTATCTGAGATATAGGGTATCAACGTATCTAACCCTACCGCTGTTATTCGGTTTTCAAGGCTTTGTGAGCAGTTAACAAAATGTCTGACATGGTGTGGAGGTATCGGTGTTATGGGCCTCCACTGGGTAACTGAATCACTGAATTGTCTGGTCCAGACTTGAATGTCTTCAGGCCGCTGTCACATGGTAGAAGTACTGTCAGGTGTGGTGCGGGTTCAGCAACGAACAGAAGTGACTTTATCTGCAATTTGTCTGAGTGGCGGGTGCTACGGAACAGCCAGACATTCTTATACTTTTCATCACAGATTTTCAGTGATACATTCATGTAATTTTCACCACTATTTTGCCTTTAAAGCCCAATGGGTTTCTTTCGGCAGATAATCGAGACTGGTTATTGTCTAGCGCTGACGTTATCTGTCTCTATATAATTGAGGAGTTTTGTCCTATTAACAATGTTTTCTATACAAGTGTGAAAGATGTCGTTGCCATAATCATTGGTTACTATGACATTGCCAAGGGTCTCTGTGACGTCATCAACTGTTTGTGCGTTGTTACCGAGTTTTCAATGCTGATAAGGAAGGTCTGTTATTGATTGAGGCTTTTTGATGTTAGGGATTTTTGTGCTCTTACGTGGACTTTCTGTGTGAGTATTACGGGAACCTAGAAGTGACAGAATTCTTCTTGTTGACAACCTGTCATGTTTGTGTGATCGCTGGCAATAATCACCCTTACACCAAGCCAAAGACAAAGCTGATTTTGGCAGCTTAATATACTCACAACTGACCGATAACAGTGGACCGACGTGAGAAGAGAATTAATTCTGACGCGTTTTTCCCCGCTAGTATCACCAAGCACTATAAACACCTCACATGGCCACGCTGCTGAGAAACCGGCGGTCAATGAGCTCCGCCGTATTTGGCATACGCCTCGCCCTTTGTCAAGGACATTGTCGCGCATGCGCAGTGCAATCTCCTGCCTAATCGATATTGCCGTGATATTGGATGTGCCAAGTTGTGGCATGGCCTCCGTATCGGGAGCGCTCGCTACAGTATAGGGAAGCGTGCCATTGACGGTCAGTGCAAGGCGAATAATAACCCTAGCCATAGCTATGGAACTGACCGCTATACGGTCAGCCGAACTTCCTCCACGCGTATAACTGGGTTGTACCGCAAGGAAACACTGCGACCATAATGCCGGTAAGTGTACTTTAATTGATTTCATAATATTCCAAAAATCTAATTGCCGTATCCATGGTGATAAATGGCACCAAAAACAACAGCCTGTTTTGATGGTTAAGCCGCTATTAACCTCTTGGTGAATCAAGTTTGTATTTTTATTATCGCTTAACTCCCCAAGCTTTGATCAATCATTTGCCACTTCTGAACCCAGGTCTATTAAGTCGCACGGAACATGATCAATTCGTGAAATTCCCCCTTGTTTGTGTGAGACGCGATAGAAAGCAGCCTACGCGAATGTTAACGACCTGTCCATCAATTTCAATGACCCGGTAGAATTATCCTGACAGATTTTGATCGTTCCTTGGCCCAAATCCACATATTCCTATGACAATCGTCAATAATAAAATACTTGTTTATGTGCCGTGCAAGAACTTCAATACAATTACGCTAGAGAGCAGGTTATTGTGTGGGTGGGAGGTGTCATTCCATATGTATTGGTTTTGTCATCAATGGTTAAGCCGTGTCATTGTTGGTTTATTGGGTGTTTATGACGTATCCCTTTGTACGCTAGACTGCCGCAACCAACACATGATAGATACAGCAGAGAGTCAGTTGTTGATATCATTTGCTGAATATTTTACCTCGATTCTATAAGAATGTTTTTGTTCAGTGAATCATTGAATATGTGAATGAATCATTGGGACACATATGTTCAAGCACTTCGTTTGAAATAGTGTTCTCTTCAGGAAATGTTGTTTGGATTTCATTGGATAAATTATAATAAAATAATGTTTTTGTTTATAAATGTGATGGCACGTTTTGAAACTTATGTTAAATGCTTAATTGAAACGTGTGCTTCATGACGGAAGAATTTGTTCTGATTTGCCAAGCTTGACCATATGTCTTCCAGTGTGGGTGGCCATAGTGCCCGGATACATCTTGAAGCCTAGCGATCCTTTTGACGTTTAAAACCCCCCATTTAACTTAATGACTGATAACATTCTTTTAATAGACTAATTTTTGCCTAACAAACTATTTCCGTAAATATGTTTCAGCACTGTTGTATTTTAAGTGAACAGCCTTTAGCAAAAACCATGATCCGGCCTTGTTGCAGTTCCGTTCCGGTTTTTGTATTTAATTATTATTACGATGTTTGGTTTAATATTTGTGACAGTTAACAGTTGACAGTTAAGATAAACGTTTCATCAGCTGTATGATTTGAAACCTTCGCTAGTTTGACAGGAAACATTACTCCGTTTTTACCTAACCCGTGGAGGCCAGTCCTTGCTGAGGGATTGCTGGTCCAACATTAAGCATGGCCGCTGTTATCTGTCTTATCGCCGTCAGTGCAGCAAATAGCAATCAAACATAAACTACCCGGACCTATATTAAACGAATTACTTCAATATATTGATAAAATGAAAATGAAATTCCGGACCCTGTTAATCTTGAACAGTTGTGTGTAGTGTTCTGTGTGTGATGCGGTATGTGTGTGTAGTGTTCTGTGTGTGATGCGGTATGTGTTTGTAGTCTTCTGTGTGTGATGCGGTATGTGTATGTTGTGTTCTGTGTGTGATGCGGTATGTGTTTGTAGTCTTCTGTGTGTAATTCGGCATGTGTTTGTAGTCTTCTGTGTGATTCGGTATGTGTATTTTGTGTTCTGTGTGTGATGCGGTATGTGTTTGTAGTCTTTGTGTGATGCGGTATGTGTGTGTAGTGTTCTGTGTGTGATGCGGTATTTGTGTGTAGTGTTCTGTGTGTGATGCGGTAAGTGTGTGCAGTGTTCTGCGTGTGATGCGGTAAGTGTGTGTAGTGTTCTGTGTGTGTTGCGGTATGTGTGTGTAGTGCTCTGTGTGTGATGCGGTATGTGTGTGTTGTGTTCTGTGTGTGATGCGGTATGTGTGTGTAGTTTTCTGTGTGTGATGCGGTATGTGTGTGTAGTGTTCTGTTGGTAATGCGGTATGTGTGTGCAGTGTTCTGTGTGTGATGCGGTAAGTGTGTGTAGTGTTCTGTGTGTGATGCAATATACGTGTGTAGTGTTCTGTGTGTGATGCGGTATGTGTGTGTAGTGTTCTGTGTGTTATGCGGTTTGTGTGTGTAGTTTTCTGTGGGTGATGCGGTATGTGTGTGTAGTGTTCTGTGTGTGATGCGGTATGAATGTGTAGTGTTCTGTCTGTGATGCGGTATGCGTGTGTAGTGTTCTGTGTGTGATGCGGTATGTGTGTGAAGTGTTCTGTGTGTGATGCGGTATGTGTGTGTAGTGTTCTGTGTGTGATGCGGTATGTGTGTGTAGTGTTCTGTGTGTGATGCGGTACGTGTGTGTAGTGTTCTGTGTGTGATGCGGTATGAATGTGTAGTTTTCTGTGTGTGATGCGGTATGTGTGTGTAGTGTTCTGTGTGTGATGCGGTATATGTGTGTAGTGTTCTGTGTGTGATGCAGTATGTGTGTGTAGTGTTCTGTGTGTGATGTCGTATGCGTGTGTACTGATGTGTGTGATGCGGTATGTGTGTGTGTTCAGTGTGTGATGCGGTGTGTGTGTGTGTTCTGTGTGTGTAATATGGTATTGATGTGTAAGATGCTAATTGCCTGGGATGCGGGCCTCTGTAGGGTGTGGTATATATACGGGGTGCCGGTGTGCGGTTCTGTGTGTAATGATATTTGTGATGAGGGCCTCTGTATGTAGCGGTCTGTATATGGAATGCGGGTCTGTGTGTGTGATATGCTATACTTGTGGGATGCGGTTCTGTGTGTGTGATATGCTATACTTGTGGGATGCGGTTCTGTGTGTGTGATATGCTATACTTGTGGGATGCGGTTCTGTGTTGTGCATTTTCGTGGTATACGGTGGTGCGGATTGTTTGTTGGATGGAGTTCTTTGAAGTGTGTTGTATATTTATGCGGTGATGGTATATTTGTGGGGTGCGGTTCTGTGTAGTTGGGTATAATTGTGGGATACGGTTCTGTGTAGTGTAGTATATTTGTGGGACGGTGTTCTGTGTAGTGTTGCGTATATTTGTGGGATGCGGTGGTTTGGTATATTTGTGGGATACGATTTTGTGTAGTGTGGTGTATATTTGTGGGATGCGTTTCTGTGTAGTGTAGTATATTTGTGGGGTACGGTTCTGTGTGGCGTGGTGTATATTTGTGGGATGCGGTGGTTTGGTATATTTGTTGGATGCGGTTCTGTGTAGTGTGGTGTATATTTGTGGGATGCGGCTATGTGTAGTGTGGTATATTTGTAGGATGCGGTGGTGTGGTTGATTTGTGGGATACGATTCTGTGTAGTGAGGTATATTTATGGGATGCGGTTCTGTGTAGCGTGGTGTATATTTATGGGATGCGGTTCTGTGTAGTGTGGTATATATTTATGAGATGCGGTTCTGTGTAGTGTGGTGTATATTTATGAGATGCGGTTCTGTGTAGTGTGGTGTATATTTATGGGATGCGGTTCTGTGTAGTGTGGTGTATATTTGTAGGATGCGGTTCTGTGTAGTGTGGTGTATATTTATGGGATGCGGTTCTGTGTAGTGTGGTGTATATTTATGGGATACGGTTCTGTGTAGTGTGGTGTATATTTATGGGATACGGTTCTGTGTAGTGTGGTGTATATTTGTAGGATGCGGTTCTGTGTAGTGTGGTGTATATTTATGGGATGCGGTTCTGTGTAGTGTGGTGTATATTTATGGGATGCGGTTCTGTGTAGTGTGGTGTATATTTATGGGATACGGTTCTGTGTAGTGTGGTGTATATTTGTAGGACGCGGTTCTGTGTAGTGTGGTGTATATTTATGGGATACGGTTCTGTGTAGTGTGGTGTATATTTATGGGATACGGTTCTGTGTAGTGTGGTGTATATTTGTAGGATGCGGTTCTGTGTAGTGTGGTGTATATTTATGGGATACGGTTCTGTGTAGTGTGGTGTATATTTATGGGATACGGTTGTTTAGTGTGGTGTATATTTGTAGGATGCGGTTCTGTGTAGTGTGGTATATATTTATGGGATGCGGTTCTGTGAAATGTCGTGTATATTTATGGGATGCGGTTCTGTGTAGTGTGGTGTATTTTTATGGGATGCGGTTCTGTGTAGTGTGGTATATTTGTGGGATGCGGTTCTGTGTAGTGTGGTGTATATTTATGGGATGCGGTTCTGTGAAGTGTCGTGTATATTAATGGGATACGGTTCTGTGTGGTGTATATTTATGGGATGCGGTTCTGTGTATTGTGGTGTATTTTTTTGTGATGCGGTTCTGTGTAGTGTGGTATATTTGTGGGATGCGGTTCTGTGTAGTGTGGTGTATATTTATGTGATACGTTGGTGCGGCATATTCCCGGGAATAGATGTTAGTCAAGGAGACCGGGAAAAACCTTATAGTCACAGGAACACGTTTCAGGTAAAAGGGATCAGCTAAATAATGTCCAAATAACCATTACATCCGTATTGGGCTATGTGATCTATCATAAAGGACCAACCAAATTTTCAGTAATTTAATTACCAAATTTATAACCAAACATTCGCATTTATTTTAGCATTCAGTTTCCCGACAATTTCAGCAATTATGTACCCCAAAGGCTTCTGTGTACACGAGCACTCTCTGAATCAAATTGACGCAGTGCATCGTAGAGAAAGTTAATCTTCATCAAACACTACAATGCACTTACATGTAGATTTGCCCCTCTAAACGCTCTCATCGCATGTTAATCAAAAAGAGTTTCATTTCTCTCAATGGTTACATTGTCATCGGCCGTATTTACATGGGTTAAGTGTCAGCTGACATCAAACAGCCATTAGTAACGTCATTCTGATTGCTTGGCCTCCACCCGCAATCAATACATAGTCGTAATAAGCGATGTCCGTGTTTAGCTGGAGGACTGGTGTACCGTGATTTGTGGTCTGTAGGTACATGTTCACGGTGTAGTTGCAGTTGTACACGCTCACGTCTGTGGCGACATTGTAGTCAACGGCTGCCTATGATCTTGGACCATGTCATGCTTTCACATTGTTAAACACTACAGGGATC